TGCAGGATAGATGATTTAATGGAATCAAGTATAATAACAGTACTGGAGGATTGCAAAAGCTGAAGTCGCTGGCACAAGAAATTGCTGCCATTGTGGAAAAACTTTGTGGGGATTTTATCATCCTTAATTCTTTCACGATCTACAGAAGGAAATTCTTCCTTTTTCCGTTATGTGTAGGTCAAAGGTCGCTGTTGGCTACGATTGGAGTTAAACGAGTTTGGTATCTGCTGTCTATATATACAGGTTGGAACCACACGATGTTTTGCTTGAAAGCACACATTGGCAAGTCCAAGGAGAGACACATTTTCTGCCCCTGGGCTTAGGAGAGGCTTGTGAAAAAAGATACAGTGATAAACGCCTCGGGGATTTCTACTGATTCTTATTCATCTTTTCCCCTCTGAAGTTCTTCGCCATGGAGGGTGGCATGTAGTAACAACCAACGTTACAGGTGTTTTTTTTGTTCTTCTTCCAGTTGCTGTGCACAGCTTTCATTTATTGTAAGCATATGATGCAATGTAATACCTCTAATGTGGGTCTGCCCAATTCCCTTTTAACTAAAATGTGATTTAACCCAAACTGACCGACCGGTGGACTCAGTGACTCACATAATGTTGCTCAGACCAGCTCCGAGCTGCCTTGTGGGAGCCTGGGCGGCACGAAAATGACAGACTGACACACTCGATTTACGACCGGAGAACAGGGTGGCTTTCAATTTTAGGCAGCCCTCGATTAAGACATCACACAGACCCAGACTCTCCTAATTACACTCGCAAACACATATACACACAAGCAGCCGGAGAACAGTTATTGAAGGGCCGCGGACTGCGGAGGCAGATAGTCTTGTCAAACCTCTTGATTTAAACAGTCTGGGAGAGAAAGGGCGAAGAGAAAGACATAAAGTCACACGATCGCTACTCTGGTCATTATTACATCAATGTGCCTGCTGATAGAGAAGCAATGTGAGGAAATGAATGAGATCAATATGCAAAGGATGGGTAAAGCCAATGAATGGGGGACATAAGAAGGCAATATCCAACTGATGCATCTAGGAGAGGAAGCATTTCATGTGTAAATAAGAGGGTGTATGTGAATCAGTGCATTAGGTTGAGGCAGTTTTTTTCTGTGTCTGTGAGGGAGAAAGGTCATTATTAGGGGAATGTCATCCATATAATTATAGCATCTTCCTCTCCATTGCTTAGTGTGCCTGCTTTCAGGAGAGTTTGCGTGTTTGTATCCATGGCAGAGCACCAGTGCGTGTCCAGCCCGTCTCCTCTGGATACTGTGCTTGGATGGCTTGTTTTTGTTGCTGTTTTTTTTTTTTTTTTTCGAGCTGCACGGCTGAATAAGGGAGCTCTGCTCTGCTCTGCTTTAGGCCGTCGCGGCTTGGCCGGCTGGCGGGCACCGTCTGTGCTGAGGGGGGGGGGGGACTAAATATAGCTCACTGCGCCAGGAAGAAGACAAACTGGGAAGAGAGGGAGGGGCGTAAATATAGAGTACCCTCGTGCAATTAGAGAGTCGAGCAGCGGCTGGGAAATTTTAGGGAAAGAGACGGGGAACTCTCTCTCTCTCTGAGCCTGTTCCCCTCGCCAGCTTTGTTATTTTGGCACACAGCAGCCTGATTTTTCTGTGAGTCGCTACATTTGGCGTGAAGTAACCCAGTTTGAGGGGCACTGACTAATCTTTATACCCAGCTTTTAAACTAAGTCGCTATTTTGCATTTTAAAATTTTGCATTGACCCTTTAATTAAAGCCTTGCAACACACAAATTGTTACAGGAGACGCAGAGCAGTTGGACTCTATGCAGTAATTATGCTCAGCATACATTAGTCTGAACATCTGGTTTAAGGGTTGCTATACACTACATGATAACCGCAGTCTTGAAGGTTAATTACATGCCACACTGGGTTAGCATCTGTGTCAGAGTAGTGCTTTTTTTTTTTT